CTATTATTTTGACAAGGTTGACGAATATCACATATCGAAGCGGATGTGTTACAATTAGAACCGATAGATAAAGGTGTTTGACAAGTAGGTAAAAAAATTGAAGATGAGGACTGTCCACCTATAAAATATCAAGAAATTTCTAGTAATGTTATTATTCATTTTTGTATTTAAATATTCTATGTCGTCAAAGTCGCTGTAGTTTTCACACTGAGTAAGGGATGAATAACCATGGCCGACCCTAGTTAAGTCACTAGTTTTGGCGATTAAACGGTAAAATTAACCTGTGAAATTATGACAGGTGACGCTACAAAATTTTTCTAGTAATTAAGGGGTTTAAAGAAATGCAAGTTTTATGGAGCCAGATGTAATAAAGATTCAAAACCTAAGCGAAAATAAATGATGTAGCTAGTACTGGTTGCAATACAGAGAAAACGAAATTATCTAATTGAAAATATCACTCTTCTATTTTTATTGTTAATAAGTAGACATATTGACTAAACCCCCCCCTATAATAGAAGCCCACCCCATATTAGAAGCCCCCCCCGTATTAGAAGCCCACCCTGAGATGAGCAACGTGTTTGACGTATTAAAAGCCCCCCTAATTTTTCTAAAATTTTTTTTAAATTTTTCATAATTTTTTCGAATTTTCCTGCTAAAGTTGCTAAAATTTCTCGATTTTAAGGTGAAATTTCGACTAACTCGTATCTAACTATGCTTAAATCTGGAAAAATTGCAAAAAATCTTCTGAAAAACTCATGAAAACCTTGAAAATCTCTAAAAACCTTCCGAATCGGTTTCCTTATCATAGTCTATGAAAATTTTTTGGGACTTAATAGAAGCCCCCTCCAAAAATTATAAATGGTAGCCAAATTAGAAGCCCAGGGGGCTTCTAATATGGGGGCGGGTTTATTACATACTATTTTGATAAGAAGTAGTTGTTGCTATAAATAAAGATTAGATTCAATAAACTTAATAAGAAAGAATAAAATATCACATAGTACTTATGTTCAGATATGTAGTTGATGTTAGTGTATCATCATAGAATATAACTTCATCTAAATAATTATAGTTAACAATTTATAAAATACATAAATATAGTTTTAAAACTTACCACAAGAATTACTTATAAAAAGAAATTTTTGTACCCGCGAATTTCCTGCATCATCAACATAAATGTTTCCATAACTATCAAAACTAAGACTCCAAGGTTGACTTAATTGATTGGATGCTGAACCATTTCCATTTGTACATCCTACTATACATCGATAACCATTAGCATTTGATCCAATTATACGTTGATTATTATAGTCCGCAATAAATAAATATCCATCAGCATCAAGTATAACACTAGTTGGACAATCAAATACAATTGTTTCATTTGATCCATTTCCTACTACAGTTGTCATGTTTGTATATCCTTGTTGTATTAATTGTATTCTATTGTTTTCGCAGTCTGCTATATACAAATTGAAATTATTATCAACAAAGATTCCTCGAGGATTTTCCAGCATATATGGTCCGGATCCGGCAGTACCATTACCTGCGATAGTGGTCGTTGTATTTGCAGTGTTATTGGATAATTTTTTGATTACGATATGACGATGCCTCACAGAACAATAAATATTGTCTTGGATGTCGACAAAAATACCGTTACAAGTACTATTAACAAACATGGCAAGAACACTACCAGCTGCTCCATTATTTGCCCATTTATATATGCTACCATTATTCCTACCGTTATGAACATAAACAGTACCGTCAACAGTGACAAACATAGCACCTGGTCCACTCAAATCATAAGAAATATATGTTTGTGGACTGGTACTTCCTTCTGACAATACTAAAATGTTATTAAAGCTTGTTGCAGACAGATAAACAGTGTTGTTAATATTGACAAAGAGACCTTGGGGATATAGGCCAATGCTAGTACTATTCGCAACAGTTATAGCGTCAGGATTCCATGTTGCATTTGAACAAAGTTTCGGTAGATTGAAAGAAATATCTGTAACCAAAAAATAAAATATTTATAATTATTACTTCATAAATCACTCTTAGTAGACTTCGAATCAAAGTAAGAATTAGTGATATAATGCAAATTTGATTTAGAATTTTCCTTTTTTTTTCTTTTAAATAATTTTTTATCATCGTTTCAACAAATAATGTTACAAGGAAAAACAAATCTTATAGAAATATAATATAAAATCTATTTACCGCATGAATTTGTTGCCAAATTAAATTTTTGAATTCTATGATTTCCAGAATCAGCAACATATAGATTTCCATAGCTATCAAAACTGAGACTCTGGGGATTATGTAATTGATTCGACGCTGTACCTGGATGATATGTACATCCAAATAAACAATAAAATCCTGATCTTCCTGATCTTATAATACAATTATTCCCAAAATCTGCAATGAATAAATATCCATCAGAATCAAGTATAACTGCTACCGGTTGGTGGAGTGTGAATGTTCCTGATGCTCCAGTTCCTACTACGGTTGTTGCGTTTGATTGTCCTGATTTAAAAAGCTGAATTCTTGCGTTTCCTGAATCTGCTACATACATATTCAAATTGATGTCAACAAAAATTCCTCGAGGGTGATTAAGCTGATTTGCCTTATTCCCGCCAGTACTAGTGCCAGCAGCAACTGTTAACGTATCATTGTCAAGTGACTGTTTAATCACTTGATGAGCTGAATCGATGGAACAATAAAGATAATTGTTGATATCGATAAAGAGACCATAACAAGCACCACTAATATTCATGACTCTAGTACCTAATAATGCATTTAATGCCCATCTATCTACCTGACCATTATGATTACTGTTATCAATATAAATATCACCATTTATCGAAGGAAAAACAGCTTGTGGCGTGTTCAAACCAATATAAATATTTATTGGAATTGCATTTCCATTTAGCCAGACTTGAACACAATTAAGAATTCCTTCTGCTACATAAATAGTATTATTGATATCAATTGAAATGCTATTAAGTTGTGTACCAATTGTAAAAGGATTAGTAAATGTCACAGCATTAGAGTTCCATGTTGCCGATGGACATAATTTTGGTTGATTAATGGAAAGAGCTATACAAAATAAAATTCAAATTTATCAAATCTTATTTCAAGAAACAGTATGAAAAGCTGTGCAGTGAGATCCAGTAATATAATCATATCTTAAAAATCTGAGGATCTTCTCTCCTGATATAATTTTGTATCAGCAAAAAATAATTATTTACCTGATCCTTCAACATTCACCAGTAGAACAGTCAAACAGAAAATTACGTTATACAATGCGTTCATTTTTCTTTTTGCTTTTTTGATTATGATTCAATGAGTAAAAAAACTGATCATAGATTAATTTTTTCCAATATGGAGGCGTTTTTTTACTCGATAATTAAGAATAATATTAGTTTTATTATTCCGTATACTTATACAAATGATCGGAAATTAAGTAAACTTAAAAAAACTCCGTAAAAATCAACACAAAATAAGTAAAAAAATATTCTTGTTATTTTATAATTTAGCATATATTAAGGCCTTTTTTTTGTTCATAAATACTCGATGAAGATAAATAGAATCAGAAAATGAAGAGATGAATAAATCATAAATAACTAACATTCTTCGGAAAGGTGGATCAACTAACGGAGAACTTTTATTTTTCTCTTTCGCATCATCCGATCATATTCAATAAAGCAAAGGAAAAAAAGCAATT